TACCACAGCGAGCTCACAGGGCATGAATATGTGTAAGTCAGAGCATGAATCTTTAAGAGGAACTGCCTAGGACTCCATCAGCTCTCCGTCTCACTCAGGCACAATCCCTGCTAGTTTTTACAGCCATAGTAATGGGGACATCTCTTCTTGGTATTGGAACCCTGGGCTGGCAGGTCCTCCGTGGGGCTGGGACCTTTCCCTCCTCAGATGTGACTTCTGCAGCTGATATATTGCTGGTGATTTTTGTTGTTTAAAAATATATTTTTATTTATTTCAGAGAGGAAGGGAGAAGGAGAGAGATAGAAACATATAGCTGGTGACTTTAATCCAGCACATGGGCCCAGTCCATTCTGTGGCGTTGCACCTCCTACCAGTCTGGATAAGCCTTCTTCTTTATGTCCTTACGTGTAGAACTTCATTCAGCTAGGTTTCAGGCAGTTTTGAATGATGGTTTTCCTGTAGTTTAGTTGTATTTTTTGTGTGGTTGTGGGAGGTTGCCAATGCTATAATTACCTACACCACCATCTTGACCAGAAGCCTGTGTGGATTTTGTGTAACTTCCCAGTTTAAAACATATTTTGCTTTTATTTAGAGCTCATGATATCTTCCCATTCCTGATGTCTTTCTTCAGCATTGCAGTCTTTCTGGTGCTTGAACAATTACTAACTTTTTTACTTAGTAGTCCACCATAATGTATGCTCAGTATATTTCATTTCTATAGAAATCTGTTTTATTCAAAAACGAAAAAAATCCCTCAGGCATTTACAAAAAATCCAGACAAATGGAAACCCAGTACACTCATTTATTTCTCTTCTGGGAGAAACTGAGAATTGGGAGTTATCCCACAGATATTTTTTCGTGTGTCAGAAAGGGTGAGCAGTTATTGTGGGTAGGTGTAGGTAACTTTCCCCCCTCTTTGTTATGATATTTTTATTTTATGCTTTCTGGTGGATATTGTGGTCTTTGAAGTGGCTTCTGAAGTACTTTAGGAGATAATTGGGTTAGTAATTGTTGGTAAGTTAGCATCTCTATGGAGGAAGAAAGTTTTTGTGCTTCCTATTCTTCAATCTCACTGAAGTCTTCTTGCAGGTATTAATTCTGTACATTAAAATTTAAAGAATATTTACCTGAGTGTATTTTATAATTAATTTGTTATATTTCAGCTATATCTTCTCAAGTTATTCAGGATTTGTTGCCAAAGTCAGGTGTAGAAGTGTCATTCCAGAAAATGCTACAGGTAAGATATCACTGATGTGGCATTGATAATTTACACTGAATGAAAGATTTGTAATATGCAGGGGAATATGAAGAGAAAAAAGCTTGTTAGTCATGATGGATGTGGCCAAAGTGGGACAGTTACCCTTAATAAAATCCTTGTTGCCTAAAGAGATTAAGGATTTAAACATTTTGAAAATTTCTACTTGATATCAGTTTCATTGGCAGAACAATGTGTTTCTGAACATAAAGACTAAAGAAATGTTTTTAAAAGTACATATCCTCTGCTCTGGCTGCTGTGTCTCAGTTGGTTGCAGTGTCACCCTATATTCTGAAATGCTGTGAGTTCTATTCTGGTCAGGACACATGTAAGTTTAGGGTTCAGTCGCTGGTCTAGGTGCAGGCAGGAGGCAATCGATCAGTGTTTCTCTTTCACATTGATTTTTCTTTCTCTCTAAAAATCAATAAACATGTCCTCATATGAGAATTAAAATAAATAGATGAATACATATTCTCTGAAGTAAAATTTGTAATTACAGAGAAGTCACATAGTCCATTATGCAAATCATTTTTGAATGATTTAATGTAGCACTTGATTAAACAGTCAAATATTTCTAAAAATGAGATATTTTAAAAATGAAGATACAAGTTATAAGTGAATTTGTAAATCCCTTAAGCAATTTTGTATTATTCTTCCATGGGGAAATATTTATTTTTCCAGAGTCTTTAATTTCCAAAAATGTGCGAGGATATATATATAGCTGTCATAGTATCAGAATAGGTAATTGGAAAAAAACTGTTCATGTGCAATGATACTAGAGCCCTAACTAAAACTTTTTCACTCTTAAATCATTATCAGAGTACATATAATGAAGAGAGACGTCACCAATGCAATGAATCTCAGAAAAACATTAACCAAAGGTTAAATTCTAATAACCGTCAGATAACTCAGCTTTCACAGAACAATGATAAATGTCCGAAAGTCTTTGACAAAAGCTCAAATATTTTTATACCTCAGAGTATTCATACTGTAGAGAAGACAGAAAGACTTAGTGAATGTGCCAGGTCTTTCAACCAATCATCAAATCTTACTGAACATAAAAATACTCATATTGAGGAGGAGTCTTTCAGTGTAATCACTATGTGAAAGTGCTTAGTCAGTCCTCTAAGTTAAATATACATAAGGAAATCCATACTGCAGAGAAGCCTTACAAATGCAAAGAATGTGATAAAGCCTTTAAGTGGCATGCACATATTGTTTTACATCAGAGAAATCATAGTGGAGAGAAGCCTTATAAATGTAGAGAATGTCACAAAGCCTTCAACTCTTATTCAAGCCTTATTCGACATCAGAGAATTCATCATGGAGAGAAACCTTATAAATGTAAAGAATGCGGGAAAGCCTTTAACAAGTGTTTAAGCCTTACAAAACATCAGAGAATTCATTCTGAAGAGAAGTCTTATAAATGCAGAGAATGTGGCAAAGCCTTTAGCCAGTGTTCAACTCTTACCCATCATCAGAGAATTCATACTGGAGAGAAGTCTTATGAATGTAGAGATTGTGGGAAAACCTTTAACCAGAGTTCAAATCTTACAAAACATCAGAGAATTCATTCTGGAGAGAAGCCTTATAAATGTAGAGAATGTGGTAAAGCCTTTACCTCTAGCTCAAATCTTACTCAACATAAGAAAATTCATTCTGGAGAGAAGCCTTATAAATGTAGAGAAGGTGGTAAAGCCTTTACCTCTAGCTCAAAGCTTACTCAACATAAGAACATTCATACTGGAGAGAAGCCTTATAAATGTAGAGAAGGTGGTAAAGCCTTTACCTCTAGCTCAAAGCTTACTCAACATAAGAACATTCATTCTGGAGAGAAGCCTTATACATGTAGAGAAGGTGGTAAAGCCTTTACCTCTAGCTCAAAGCTTACTCAACATAAGAACATTCATTCTGGAGAGAAGCCTTATACATGTAGAGAAGGTGGTAAAGCCTTTACCTCTAGCTCAAAGCTTACTCAACATAAGAACATTCATTCTGGAGAGAAGCCTTATACATGTAGAGAATGTGGTAAAGCCTTTACCTCTAGCTCAAAGCTTACTCAACATAAGAACATTCATTCTGGAGAGAAGCCTTATACATGTAGAGAAGGTGGTAAAGCCTTTACCTCTAGCTCAAAGCTTACTCAACATAAGAACATTCATTCTGGAGAGAAGCCTTATACATGTAGAGAAGGTGGTAAAGCCTTTACCTCTAGCTCAAAGCTTACTCAACATAAGAACATTCATTCTGGAGAGAAGCCTTATACATGTAGAGAATGTGGTAAAGCCTTTACCCAGGGCTCACAGCTTACTAAACATCAGAAAATTCATTCTGGAGAGAAACCCTATAAATGTAGAGACTGTGGCAAAGCCTTAACCCAGGGGTCACTTCTTACTCAACATCAGAATATTCATTCTGGAGAGAAGCCTTATAAATGTAGAGAATGTGGCAAAGCCTTTAGTTGGTATTCAGCCCTTTCTAAACATCAGAGAATTCATATAGAACAGAAACCCTGATAAATGTAGAGAATGTGGCAAAGCCTATAAATTATGTTCAAACCTTTCTAGCCATTGGAGGAGTCATACTAGAGAGAAGGCTTACGAACATTAAGAATGTGGCAAGGCCCATATACATTGATTAGACCTTACCAAATATATGAGAATGCATTCCTGAGAGTAGCTTTACAAATGTGAAGAGTGACAAAGCCTGGCAGTGTGGCTTAGTGTTTGAGCATGGACCTACGAACCAAGGAGGTCATGGTTAAATTCCTGGTCAGGGTACATGCCCGGGTTCAGGCTCTATCCCTATTAGGGGGTATGCAGGAGGTAGCCAATCAGTGATTCTCATCATTGATGTTTCTATCTCTCCCTTCTTCTCCTCTGTCCCTAACATCAATAGGAACATATTTTTAGATAAAGTGTGACAATGTCTTTAACCTCGGTATAGCTTTACTCAATACTAAGGAATTCACAGTGAATAGAAGCAACATAAATATAAATATGGGAAAACCTCCAACCATTGCCCAAACCTCACTAAATATTAATGAATTTGTACCAAAGAGAAGCCTTAGAAGTGTAGAGCTTGTGATAATGCCTTTACCCAGTGTTTAAACCTTAGTCAATATCACATAATTTATTGAAAGAATAAAAATATAAACAATGTGGCAAAACTTTTAATCATTGCTCAAGCCTCAATGTACTTTAGAGGTTTCCTAGTGCAGAGAAGCCATGCAAATGTAAAAAGTTCAGCAAAGACTGTTTTTACCATTTACATCTTAATTGTCATATGAGTGTTCATACTGGAGAAAAACTTAAAATGTTAAAGAATATGCAAACCCTTTACCTGGACCTAAAGCCTTTCTGAATATCAGACAATGCATACTGGAGAGAAATTCTACCTTTGTGAAAAATGATGAAAAACCTTTTCCCCAAATTGTATTTCAGAAAATCCCACAGAATTTGTACTTGAAAGTGACTTTAATCAAAATTAAATGTAAAATATCAGAGAATTCACAGTAGAAAGTATTAAGTCAATAACAGTTTTCAAATATGACATTAAATCAGAATACTTATTTTAGTGAATCCATTAAGGAAAGCTACATGACTTTCTAGTATGAATCAAAATACCAAGGGGATGAATTTTAGGACAAATCCACTGCATCCTTTTTTATTACAATAGTTATTTGTGACTTTTTGAAAGAAAAGTATTACTGTGGTTTATATATAAATTCATTTCATCATTCTTTGAATGCTTATAATGTGTATTTTGAGCAGTGGCAATACAGTGTGTTTGTGATGCTCCCCCCCCCCCAGTGCTTTGTTTAGAGTATGTGTACACTTAATATGTTCATTTATAAAGTTACACACTCGAATACTACTCCATATTCTTTAGATTGTTTTAGGGCATATTCTTTTATGTAGCAAAGACTTTGAACTTCTCTACTGTAAGTATTAAGAAAATTTAGATTATATACATATTTGCATAATAAATGAAATTTATTTCACAGGCATTTTAACATTTTTTTTTATTACTGGGGCAAAAGTTCATTGTATCTTGGTCGCACTACTGAGCTATGATGTGACTGCCTTAGCATAGTGCTCAGGTTCCTGAGAGATGTATGAATGTTGTGAAAATCTAGGATTTACATTTTTGTGATAATTGCAGGGGCATTTTGTATTCCTTATCTGTGCAAACCAGGGCCTGACAGTTGGGAAACAGCCATGATTATTAGAGGTGTTCACTAGTCACCAACTGGGATTATTGAAAATGGCTGAACAAATGTGAAAGACAGAATATAGGGTGAAAAAGACACAAAGATACACCAGGAAAAGGATGCTTTGGGTAGTTCTGGTGTGAGGAGGCATCTGAGGGAAACATTAGCCTGATTGAGTGTGTTGGACCCACTGATTGTGCCTGTACAACATGAAAACCAGGAAGCTTCAGGCCCAGAGTATGGGCCCTAAAAATAAAATATCAGTAAAAGTCATGTTCTTAGTCACTTGCCTTCTCCTTTCTTTTTACTTCTATTTACATTTTTATTAGTTTAATAAAGGACTGTCTTTTTCTTCCTTAAACTAGTTTATATTACAAAGAAGTTTAATTGGCTTCACATGTTTAATTAACTTATTCAAATGAATTTTAAAAGATAGTTGGATTTCATTTGTCTGCTTTTTGGACCTGCCTGTGCCTTTAATATCAGTCTGAGATGGCTTGGTCTTGTATCCCTGGAGGTCTGTGAAGAGGCTTGCTGTTATGTCCTGAAAGGTAAAAAATAAAAAAAATAAAAAAAATTAGGGTCTGATTTTAGTATCAGGGCCGGGTTTCAATTACATTAGGGTTTGTTCCAGCTTCCCCTCATGCTAGCAAGCATGCTCCCAACTTTGAAGCAAATGTTGATTTTGCTGTCTTTAAAGAGATTCTTGGATTCAGATGCCAGCCTACAAGTGGGGAACTTTTACTGAGAAAAGTCTGAGAACATGTTCAGGCAGCCAGGCCCCTTGAAAAGCTTTCAATGTAATTACTTCACTGTGATGGAAAACCCAGAGAGTGAAAGTTCCTCAATGAGCAAAGGAAGAAAAGGGTCTGTATCACACACAGTCTTATTCCAGACCCTGTGTACGCTCATAAACTACTCTCGCTAAAGCCCCACAATTCTTTGGGGTAGCATGATTCCCATTTTACAGGGAGGAAATTGGCTCAGAGAGTGTTAGTGAGTTGCCCAAGGTCCATAGCTGGTATATGTTTTCTGTTATCTGAACCCATGTCTCTCTGTCTACAAGACCTCAGAGGGGAACTTCTCTGCTTTGACTTCTCTACAGAACTCTGAACACATCCCTACTCAGTGTCTGATGGATTACAAGATTGTGTGGTCTTCAGTGGGTCCTGTGGTCCAGAGATTCCTACACTTAAGGCATTGTAGGTCAACAACATTTTTTTAAAATATATATTTTATTGATTTTTTACAGAGAGGAAGGGAGAGGGATAGAGAGTTAGAAACATCGATGAGAGAGAGAGACATCGATCAGCTGCCTCCTGCCCATTCCCTACTGGGGATGTGCCCGCAACCAAGGTACATGTCCTTGACCGGAATCAAACCTGGGACCCTTGAGTCTGCAGGCTGATGCTCTATCCACTGAGCCAAACCGGTTAGGGCTCAACAACTTTTTAAAAAATAATTGTATACTTTATTTTTCCAAGGAAAAATAATTTCAAATAAACTTCCAGATACTGTAAATGTCATTTTACCCAAGAAAGGATATTTTAATTCCAGAAAATACAAAGAAAAGAATTCATTCTTTCATTCATTTAAGATATATTAATTGATTCTCTATGTTGAAAAAGCACTTAAAATCTCTAGAAATAATCCTAAAAGGGAAAACCATGTATTTAAGAAAATCCTATATAATAAAAAGGGTAATATGCAAATTGACCCTAATGGTGGAACAACTAGTTGCTATGATGTGCACTGACCACCAGGGAGCAGACGCTCAATGCAGGAGCTGCCCCCTGGTGGTCAGTGCGCTTCCACAGGGGGAGTGCCACTCAGCCAGAAGCTGGCTCTGGGCTGGCCAGCACAGTGGTGGTGGCAGCGGTGGTGGCAGGAGCCTCTTCTGCCTCCACGGCAGTGCTAAGGATGTCTGAGGTGGCCTAAGCCATTAGTTGGACATCCCCCAAGGGCTCCTGGGCTGTCAGAGGGATGTATGACTGCCAGCTTAGGCCCATTCCCCCAGGGAGTGGGCCTAAGCCAGCAGGTGGGCATCCCCCGAGGAGTCCCAGACTGCGAGAGGGCACAGGCTGGGCTGAAGAACCCCTCCCTGGGCCTCTAGCATAAATAAAAAACTAGGGAAGAAAAATATGAATCTGTGGTGTTTGAATTGAGATCCTCTTGCCTCAGCCCCTTCCAACTCAACAAGATCAACTGCACCTCAGACTCATATACAGCCAGAACACAGGGCTACCTCTTGCCCCAGCTCCCAGTGGAAATAATTGAGGAATTCTCAACTTACTTGAAATTGCTGATCCTCAGCTTCATAATATCCTTAAACAGCAACTAAAAAGATTTTTGAGCCAAAACCGGTTTGGCTCAGTGGATAGAGCGTCGGCCTGTGGACTGAAAGGTCCCAGGTTCGATTCCGGTCAGGGGCATGTACCTGGGTTGCGGGCACTTCCCCAGTGGGAGATGTGCAGGAGGCAGCTGATCGATGTTTCTCTCTCATCGATGTTTCTAACTCTCTATCTCTCTCCCTTCCTCTCTGTAAA